TATTCCATTTGCCCCCTGCTGTACCTGTGGCAGACATCACTAATTGATCATGACATTCCCACTGAGTACAAACTTGGCCTTAGAATCTCTCTCAATACAGTGCTTCTGGCAGCAAATACCAATCAATGGCACTTGGAAAGGGGAAAGAAAACTATTTAACAACAGATATCAACTACTATCTTTAAAATTAGAAGAGAAATCTACACTAGCAGACTCAGCTCCTTTGAACCCAGGGTTGACCAGAAAACTGTTGTCAACATACAGCTTTTCTAGATAATGCAACAGGCAATGAGTCAAAGTGATATTGTGTTTAAAATGCCAGTGAAGAATCAACAGCATTGGCGGCAGTAGAAGTAGTTGCTGATAGAATTCAAAATATCTGTTAGTTATGCCACCATTTTCTAAACCCTATACCTGTACCCAAAGCAGTATTTATTTAATGTTTGCAGAAGCAGAAGTAGGCTGGTGTGTTCCATAGAAGACAATAGTAAATATCATATGTGAGATTGCCAAAGAGTCTGTAGCAGAGAGACCAGCAATGTTAGAGACAGATGAGACTTGACAACTTGAGAAGCAAGGTGCATCGGCCTTAGCAGAAGCTAATATGGACTGAATGCCTGTATGATATGCTGGCAGTCACGATCGGTCTCACTTAACACTCATAGAGACTCCATCACTGACTTGAACTTGAGCTTGTCTAAAATAAAAGTGGGTTTTTTATAACTTCACTAAGATAGCCTGTCTCTTTTATCATAATGGTGTACTTTTATTTCTATCTTTGCTGTTAATAAAGTAAAGTGTTCAAATTAAAGTTGGATAACAGGCAGCTGCCATTTTTTTTGTAGAGCACAAGTGGTTAAATACTGGAAATATTATATTTTTACTTTCGTTCTGTTACTTTGAGTATAACAGTATTCTCATTTAGTAGAGGGGAATATAACATAAAACCTGAAGAATGACCAAGGGCACAGAAAAGTCTTAGCAATCAAAAGAAAAAGAGGATGAAGTGTAGGTCCCTTCTTGCAGTCTCCTGCTGATATCATGCCAATGCCAAACACACTACCACCTGACCACCTCTTTGAGTCTTTGCCTTCTTGCTTCTCTCCTTCCACTCCAGTTTCAAACTCCAATGCAAATAGTTTCCTTCCTTAAGACTTGCCAAATCAGCTAAGCCTATTGAAAGCCCAATTCCTTTCAGGCTCCTTCAATGGATCACCTAGGCTATTCATTGGAGTAATGACACTTCTGCTTTGATACTTCTTCCAACACTTAACAGTATTCAACGTTATAAATCTTCTGTACAAACACTTCCCTGAACAGGGATGGGGTGTCATAGAGATCTTTGATGACTCCCTTTTTCCTTTGTGGTTCGTGATGCCCAATGTTGACCCCTGAGAACTGTGTTCTACAGAAGATTACTGAGGGGAAATGGTGGGCATCACTCACTACATAGAATTCCTTCTAAATCCACAATAATGGATGCCACTATAAAATTCTCCTTTCTACCCAACTCCTCCTTTATACTAACTGCAAGACTTCACTCTCCACACCATTCAGCTTCTTCATGTGACTCCTCATCTTTTCATGCCAATACTCTCTATTGTATAATGCAATTTGGCTCCAGCTCAGCTTTCCTATGAAGTTACTGATTTCATGCTTAGCAAACATCATTTAGGCTCATCTTTCTTAAAGGTGCCCAAGCATTATATATAATAAGCTATTTTCTTTTTGTGCCACTTATCAAGGCACATTATTTTCTCAATAAGTTCTGACTATGTCAAACTTCAGAACCATTAATTTGTATTTCGTATGGCTGGACGCTCTTCTCACTACAAGGCGTGGAATTGTCTCTATGCCTCTTACTGACTGTATTCTCACCAAGGCCAGACATATTACCAACAATGAGCTGAGAGGAAAAATGATTCTGGTAAAATTGGTTTCCATTGTACCAAATAATCTTTCAAAGATACAAAGAATGAAAGACTTTAATTAATAATATGAATGTAAAGCCTCTAACAGAAATAAATGTGCTATATAAAATGTTAAGAATGTATAGCATCTACAAAATAATCTCTACCTACTTTTCCATAGAGTAAGTTACTACAAATCAAAACATGTAAGGAAATTGTTTAACACTAAGTGCTTGGGCTGGGTAATGCAACTTGGTAGTACAGTGCTTACCTAGCAAGCACAAGGAGTTTCATTTCTCCCAAATAGTACAAAAGTAAATAAATACGCTTCAAAGAGATGGCTAAGAGGTTAAGGACAGTGGCTGGTCTTCCAGAACACTCAGAGTCTATCCTAGCACCCCACATGGTGGCTTACAATTGCTTGTAACTCAAGTCCCAGGGATCCAGTGCTCTCCTGGCCTCTGCTCACCCTACATGCATTCAGTGCATAGGCATACATGCATGCAAAATATGCATAAAATAAAAATATTAAACTAATCAAAATCTTAAAAAACACACAAAAATGAACAAAAGAAGAAAATAAAAATAAGTGTTTTATAATATCATAATATCTTTAATGAAACAAATACAAATTATATGATGTGTTCATATTTATAAATTAGGAAAATGCCTTGGTATGAAGACATCTAATATCGACCTAGATGTAATGGACCATGGATCTCCCCTTAGCACTAGGGCGGCTATAAACAGAAATACAATTTGGCAAATTAATGTAACTATGTATCAGAATGACCCAAGATATTCAAATGCTTGCTTTTGGCAATAACAACTATTAGAAATCTATTTTGAGAAAATCAAATTTAAAAATTTATGTACAAAAATTTCTCCCACAGTGCTATTTCAAAACGATAACATAAAACAATCTAAACATGTAAAATTAAGCATTTAGAAAAAATTCTACTTTCCTACTTAAATGAATATTATACAATACTGCTTTATCCTGATAGAATTTGAGATGGTACAAAAAACAGCTTATATTAAGTGAAAACTTAAGCTGTAAAACTTTATAAGCATTCACTGACCACACAAAATAAGTTACATACATATATCTATAAAAACCAATGCTATGAATATTTTCATTTTAGAACTATGAAGATTATATTTGTGACATTTCTAATAAGCTGACATTATTTATACTAATAATACATATTTCTTTAATCAAAAGTTGAGCATTGGTACATAACTAGTGAAACACTCTTGCTCCTTTCAGAAACAGAGAGACTAAGTCCACAAGTTCTTGACACTCTCAATTAATAGATCCCTTTCAGCTGGAACTTTACTGAGTTGCAGAGTGGTGTCATCTTCTCAAACCTGCTAATGTCCATTGGCCCAGGGACTGGTACTAGGTAAGACGATAAAGTTTTATATAAATGAATAGACAATTTATTTATATTAAAAGGCACAATGTAAATTTCTAGAATAGATACTGTCGTGTGTTTGTGTGTGTGTGTGTGTGTGTGTGTGTCTGTGTGTGTGTGTGTGTGTGTGTTATTGAAAAGTACTGGGAATATTAAAAAATCCAGAAAAAAATTGTACCCAGATTATCATACCTCAAAAAACATGAAAAAAATTGAAGAGCTCCATGACATTTCATTAGAGTGATTTATGGAAGAAAAGATCAATGGAATACTGGTTAGTATACTGAAGCTCAATGACATGCCTACTGTCTTCTAACAAAAATGTGATATTTGAATGGATATTTATATGTTACAAGCAAAAGGTAAATGAAGAATTGTTTATCACCTTTTCAAAGAAACTCATCAGTATTTGTCTTTGCTGGTCAAATAACAGGTCTCTCATACAGATAATGTGTGCACACAAAAGTTCTTTCTATTAATGTACATAAGTTATAATTTATTAAGAAATTGAGACAAAGGCTAGATAGATGGTTCAGCAGCTAAGAGCATATATTGTTCTTCCAGAAGACTTGAGTTTCATTCCCAGTACCCAAGTCTGGTAGCTTTCAACTGCCTGTAACTCTAGCTCCAAGTGGATCCATTGTTCTCTCCTGTATTCCTCAGGCATCTGCACTCATGTGTGCAAATCCACACTTAGACACATATAAACATAATTTTAAAAACCAAAAAGAAACATTACAAAAAGAAACAAAGTTAATCATATGCTTACAAGTGAATGTATGCATACGTGCATGTTTATATATACCTGCCTGTATATGTGTATATGTGTCATCTGCATACATACACTATATGCCATGAAATTAACTACTCTGCTGCTTGACCAAACCATGCAATCATGCAGTAGACCTTTGATAAGAAGGTAATTTAGCAAACTCAAAGTGTGAAATTAAACTTAGCGACAATGACCGTGGTGCGTGTAGGCACCACAGTTCTGGTTCAAAGCATCTTGTCTAACTTACTGTTCCTTTATCCTTATCAGCAATACCCAGAGCCAAGGACTTTCTGATTTAGACATTCTAAGACTTACTCTTTGGTGGATGTCAAGAGCCTCCATTTACAACCTAAAGCACCATTTACAAACAACTCAGAAGTTTGTCTAGGAATTCTTCAGTTAGTCCATGGGTCTTGTTTTTGTTGTTTGGTTTTTGGGTTTTGTTCGAGATAGGGTTTCTCTATGGCTTTTGGAGGCTGTCCTAGAACTAACTCTTGTAGACCAGGCTGGTCTTGAACTCAGAGATCCGCCTGCCTCTGCCTCCTGAGTGCTGGCACTAGAGGCATGTGCCATCACCACCCTGCTATTCAGTTCTCCTCCTACTAATGTTTAGGTGTCTTAAACTGAAGTAGTATTATTTAAGAATCCACAACAAAGCCATGTATCAGAATGACTGGGCTAGTTCTGAAAAATGAATCAAGTTGTCTCTTTAAAACATTTTTCAGTTCAAGGTTTTTGGGTTCTCTTCTTGGGGAGTGTTTTATTTTTATGTAAGCAGCTGAAGATACTTTGCAGATGACTTCTTATCCAAATCCACTTGTACTCTATTTCGGTAAAAACACAGCCTGTCATCGAATATGTATTTCACAGAGAAAAGTTCCAACTGAAATCAAAGCTTACCTGCAGTTCCAGAGAGTTCCACACTTAAGGTTCGTTCAATAGTCTTGTTCTCAAATGGGGAACCCTTGGGGTCACTGGAAGATATGGCACATTTATAAAAACAAACTGAAATGGAGTTGCTGTAGCCAAATGTATTAGAACCCCCTTCCCTTTCTGAAAATGTTTGCATTTCTTAATACTTACTTTGGTGACTCTGGGGTCAGAGGAAGAGATAAAGTTGTTGGTTTGGCTACAGGAAAGAAGAAGAAACTAATTATAAAATATTGAGTCTTTTCAGATCAACTTTCTGCTACATTAAGGTAGGAAACAACCAGGAACTGTAAGAATAAACCTCTGAATGTTGGCTAAAGGACAAACAACAGTTCATTATGCTATAGCAAATTCCAAACAACATTTGAATTGGTACAATACCATTAGGAAACACATACAAACACAGAGTTTTCCCAGAAATGCACCATCTCATTAAGGACACAAAAATTTGTACCATGCCATCAAAGAGAAATATTGTTTTCTGTTTTTAATTTGAAATCAGTACACGGTTTGTTTACACTAGGCAATAGCAGAGTAACTATAAGATGACAGAACGTTATGAATATTCAGTTGATTTTACTCCTAAAATGCATAGTTTCATATGTAGCCCTGAGAATAGGAAATTTCTATGAGACTGAGACTCAAGCAATAACCATCATCAAGAGATGATGACAAATTGTGGACATTGACCCGGATGGCTTAAATGGAGTTTGTATCCCAAATCTGATAGACACATGAAGTTGTCACATTTGTCAGTTAAAAGATCAATAGACTTTTTTTGTAAAGCTAAGTATTCTTTTCCATCCTTGAGTGTCACAGAATCTTACTTCCTTGATGTCCTTTCTCAACAAGAAATGCAAGAGTAGGAATTTTCTTGTTCTATTGTGCTAAGTGCTTCTCTATGTCAATCTTGTGCTTTGAGCAGGCAGAAGATAATAAATGATGAGAAATATATTATGTATATATAGTTAGTTATTTATGGGAATGTATGTATGTTTGTAAGGTTTTGTCAATTTTTTTCTTGCTAATTACTTTCAGAAGGTAAAGAGTTAGCTACGTGTATAATGAAGATTATAGATTTGTAACAAAAAGGGTCTCTGGAATAGTTTCCTACTTTATGGTTGAATACTCTGAGACATAAAGATGCTAAACAATGCCTACAGGGCAATAAAACTGATTCTTGTAAGAATCAGACACTAAGATGTTTCATTCCTCCTATTACCAATAGGAATTGAATTCAATATACTTTAAAATAAATTAATCAACCCCAGTAACTAAGGTCCTTAGAAATGTAAAAATATTATTTATGTCTAAATTAGTCTGGAATAAGGTACTTTATATGAAAAATGATATTTACATATTTAATTTGTAGATTAGGATTTAGTTTTTAAACAATTGAATAGTAAGTATGTCATCTATCCAATGTGCATCCAGAAATATAGAGCTCATGCTGTCTTCTACAAATTAGGTACATTGATTAATTGGCTTTTACATATATACAGATAGATGAGCTGATTGTACATTAATTTTTGAGTATGCCTAATTTAATCAGCCTTTCAAAAAGAATGAATTTATGAACAAATTTTACTCCCTTTTATGGTATTTAGCTAATAGCCAGGATAATTTACACAGGTTCTATAGACAATACTATCCAATTAAGAACAGTGAGATAAATCACACAATAAATGTACATTGAAAATCAGGAATGGGAATGTACAACTGGCCATGTTAAATACTTATACAAATGTCTCCAAAATTCAGATAGCTAGGTATAGGGAATTCCAAGAGCAACAGAGGGAGAGAATTGGTCACAGCCATGCTGAGGCAAGCAGGAAATGAGAGGCCTACGCAGGATCCACCCCTTTCTCTAGCCACCCTTTCTCTAGCCACCCTCAGACTGGAACCCCTGGCAAGACACTGGTTCACAGGTACACTCTCACAAGGACTACTGATCTCACTTTTAGAGAATTTAACTGGTGCTGTTCCAAGGACTGACTGATCACAGACTGCTAGGAGCCTCACAGTTATGCTTCATGTAGATGCTAATTTTGAATAAATATGTATGTGAATGAATGCATGAATGAGACTCCAGCATACACCATAGACTAGGCAATTATCCTAAGGAATCAAAAGTACATAATGAAGCCCAGTCAGAAACATACCTGTCCTCTTCAAAATGGTCTCTGACTACTCGTGTGATTTCTACTTTTTAATTTGAATAACTTAAGTAATCTTGAAAGGTAAGCACCTATTGGTTATTAATCGAAGGGTAGGCTTCATTTCTCATTGTCTTCTAGTAACTATAAGATTTCTTTTTCTTTTGAAACAGTGATGAACCTTTAAGCCTTACCAGAATTTTAAAAATTCTTCATATAGCCGGTCCCTTTCAGAGAATGCCTCTTCCAAGAACCTATTTAATCATTCAGTGCCATGGTTTGTAAAAGTTTATGGTAATATTTAATGGTAAATGAATTTTAAGAAAATTTCAAACTCTAAAAGGGAATACAGAGAATGAAAGGGGAGAAAGAGAGTAGAAGAGAAAGTGAGACAAGAGACAGGGAAAGAAATTTAACCTGTGTGCTAATTGATCAGATTCCTGAACAGAGGATTTCAAAGAGCCAGAGACTCTCAATTCAGCTCCAGTTGAATGCATGGCTGGGAATTAGTCAGGAGGAACCCAATGGATTCTTCACTCATTCACTACACCAAGCCCAGTGGGACCTTTTCCTTAGTCTTCAACATCACCAGTCCCTCTGCTAAAACAAAATCCACAGGACAATGACAAAGATTGAGAACAAGGGCCAATCCTGGCAGAGGACACTAGAAGGGAATTTGTCCCATGTCGTTGAATTTATCCTCCCAAGTGACAGACAGAGTTTGTTAGTAGATTTGATCCATCCAGCAAGGAAAACAAAAAACAAAACAACAACAACAACAACAAAAACCCTAATGGAGAGCCAACTTAAAACATTAAAGGAAAATTCCTAAAAGTCCTCCAAGGTAGAAAGGAAGAGGGATTACAAACCCTGAGGAAAAAATTTGTATTAAAATCATCATCATCATCATCATCATCGTCATCTGCAGCAATTTCAACAGCAACAGCAGCAGCAGCATACCTGCTGTATGAAATGATCATAGATCAAACCAGACAGGGACCACCATCCTGCAGGAGCCAGAAACACAACATGGGGGTGTTTCTAGCTGCTACAGAACATGTCTGTGTCTATAACAGGATTTCAGGTAGGAAGCAGACACTGGCATTTTTAAAGCAACAATTACTTTCAGCAAACTCTCTTTCTGCATCCCGAACTTCTACAATTGGAAGGGGATGAGTTGAGAGAGAAAACTGTATCTCAACCAAGAGAGATTTTCCCCCAAATCACCGGAATCTGCCTCTCCAGCACCAGCCTCCTGACTGCATATACAACTAATAAAAATCAGCCCAGATGTTTTGTTTAATTTAGGGAGTATATTTTAAATATAAAGGTCAGAGGAAATCGGGAGTTTCCAAATTCTTATACGCGAAGTAAAATCTGTGAGCAAAGCAGGTGGTCTTAAAAGTAAGACAAGAATGTACTTAGTCAGAAAGACTACGTAAATGCTATTTACTGCTTCCCAAGGCAGCAGAGGAAATCTTCAGTGCCCCATTTTTTTCCATGACTTGAAAGGGGAAAAAATCAAAGAGCCCCACACAGAGTTGGCAAGCGACTCAACATAACCGTCAGTGATCTCAGTAATCCAAATGTGTATAAACCTCAAAGGTGTTGTAATCCCTGCGGCCCCACTCCAAGCAGTGAACAATGCAGGTGTCGTTTGGATTTATTACTCACACGGCTTATCTCCCAAATAGGTTACGTTCAGCCTGTGTCCATGGAAGACCCCACCCCACTCCCCCACTCCTTTTGCCCCAGACAAACACAGATGGGATGAAAATAACACGGGTCCACACACTCAGATTTCCCAGGTGCTGCCAGCGCCCCCGCTGGCCACGGGCTGTTGTTACTGGCCTGGCATACCTTGAGCATGTTGCGACTGTGGTTGTGTATGGGACTTCTTTTTGGAGGCGCATTTGTCTCTGCTGCTGTTCCTGTTCTCTGTGGGTTTGGTGTGAGGAGGGTCATCGCTTGTGGTCAGATACTTGAGAAGCTCTGAGCAGGGACGTCTTTGTGGCTTTTGTTGTTGACAAATGCTCTTTGCTTTATTGCCCCATGAATTCTCGGTCTTAAAAACAAGGCATAAAAAAGCTAAAATTAGTGAAGTGAACCTTATCAGAATGGATATAGGTTTTCTGAAGAGATGAGATTTTCGGTGAAGTGCTCAGTCTAAGTGTACTGGATCTATGAGCTGTGAATAATTGTTTGCAGAACAAGGAAGAAAATTACATTTAAAATTCCTAAATGCCATTTATGCAGCTTTTTATTTCATTTCTCCTACATCCCGATGTTCCTACTCAGCAACATGTAACTAACAAGACCCTACAGCGCCTTTACTGTGAGTAAAGGAAAAACAAAGCTGCTTTAAACCTTAATTTACCGCTGATTGCTGAAGCCCAGTATTCACAACTCTCTTAAGTACCCCTTAACGCTCTGCTTTCCCTCACAGCGAATGGCAAGACAAACATTGTTTAATACAGCCTGCTAACTGAATTATGTCATTGCCAGCATTCTCTCCAATTAATGGCAGAGACGGATCTTTTGCAGTTAATCTGAAACGGTCTTTCTCAGGTTAAACAGCTGGCAAACCAGCCATCCTGCATCCTAAAATCATCCATAGACCACAACTACCAGCCTAACAGTAAATCGTGTTGTAGCAGAGGCCACTGCATGTATTAATCACGTGGGAAAGGAATTATACATCCTGATCATCAGAAAAACAATGCGTAAGCCAACTCTTCCTAGTTTTTCCCAAGTGCCGGTGCAATGTTTGAATACACACTTAGGATCGACTTCACCCTAAGAGGCAGCTGCTGAATCCTGGCTAAATTAATACATGCAGACGTTTTTTCCATTATGCAGACTTGTGCAAGTCCCACCCTCCCCCTTTTCTCTGAATTAAAATGTTTGCATGCGCACCTTAACAACTGCAGGGCTTGTTCTGATCCTGTGGTTGTGGTTTGCATGGTTCTGAGTGCTAAGACCGCTGCATTCATTGTAGCTGAGCTGAGTGTTGGCTGGTGCCAGTAAGAGCTTCTTAAGCTAGACATACCAGGGAACGGAAAGCAAGAAAAGTTACACATCTTCTAAGTTTCAGATTGGTAACCAAAAGTTGACTAGAATGAAGGACATTTCTCTTTAACTATACCTCACTTTAGCACAAGAATGGTAAAGGAAACAGTTTCATTAAAAGTAAGAAAAGATTTTAGCATTACAGAGATACCTAGAAAAATGCTTCCTTTTCTTTTATTTGAAATGATTTTTAAATGATTTTTTTTACAAAGAATAATGATGCAATCTTTCCTACAATGGTTCCCAAAACAAAACCACCTGTGGTAAGGAAGCCTGCCTTGCCCACTAAAGCTTTGGGGGCAGAGGATAGAAAGTAAATATTCTTCTCTGTGCCCATCAAACTCACACAAGAATCAATGAAAACATTTTCTGAACCATGTTTCATAGTTACATATACAAACTAATGATTAAAAATATGTGAATTAGAGCAATGTGAGAAAAGAAAGAAAGGATTTGTAAATAGAACACTGTTTAACAGCCTACATGTGGGTTATTGCACAAGTAGCACTGACTATTTCATTACGCCAGTTTCTTCATTTGTCTGTCAGGAGCCTCCCTGCCCTCACATGCAGGATGTCATGGACTCAACAACATTTCCCAAGTGAAGGAATTGTATAGATGCAAATCCTTGTTAAGGATTTAGAACGGTAGACAATAGAGTGACACATGGAAAGTATGGGGGGGGGGACTTACACATGTAGTATTTTCCCCAAGAATAGAAATCTTAGAATTCAAAGAGGAAAAAATCAGATCCCCATATGTTCATGTTGAGTTCCTTAGACCTAACGATTTGAGAGAATCAACCTCCAAATAGCAGAGTATTTTATTAATTTTGAACAATGACATTCTATAATTACACAGCATTGCTCTTCCATGAGATTTATGGCAAATGACAAATGGCTATCATATATGAGAAGGCAAACGGCACTCAGAAATAATAAAATTCTGGTCAAGCATTTTGTTGAAACAAAAAAAAGTCACTCCTCATGGCCAACAAACTTGCTCTTCATTGCCTACCACAAATTTCAGTAACTTGGGCTGCAGATAAGCTATTATTTTTCCATCTCATAAGAAATGCTGATCTAAAATCTCAAACTATAGCATACTGCCCGAGTTTGCAATTCTATTTTTAGAGTCACATGCAAAGAAATGTAAACACTATTGTACAATCTGTAACAGCAAAAACATGGGAAGAAAAACATAAATATCTCACCATTCTGGATTGCCTAATAAATCATAGTATCTTCATATAAAAGGTACTATGCAGCAACTAAAAGTACTGCAAATGTTGAAACCATATATACAAAGAGGAAAAATAGACCTGGCAGGTTGTATTTACATATTTGTGCATATATGTATGTATATGTGCAACAATAATAATTGAAGAAAAAGGGGTTATTAATTTGAGAATGGGGAGCACGGGAGGATTAAGAGGTAGGTACCTACAAGGGGTTGGAGGAATGAGAGAAATGCATAGAAATTTAAATTAATTTAAAACACATAGAAATAGATTTTTAAAAATCAAATGAATCAATTACATAATGACGTATCCTTGTTAATATTTTTGGTTTTTTGAGACAGGGTTTCTCTGTATTGTTCCAGGAGGTTGTCCTGGAACTTGCTCTGTAGACCAGAATGATCTGGAACTCACAGAGATCTACCTGCCTCTGCCTCTTGAGTGCTGGGATTAACGGTGTGTGGCACCAATGTCTGGCCTTCTTAATCTTAAATTCATATTTTGATATGATAATATTTTAAAAACTGGAAATAAATGTTTAGTTTTTTCTTTCTAGTTTTCACTCTATTCTTAAAGCTTTAACCATGAACTTGAATAATTCTAAGAGGAAACAATCACACACAAAACAATAGTAAAAGATTGTTTTCATAAACTACTTCCATTATGCCATGTAAGAAATGCTTTATCAACACTTTTAATAGGGAATTACAGAATTGAAAAGTCTAGACTGGCTTATGTATTTCTTTTCACTTTTTCAACTACAACCCATTTTTTCCTACACTGCAGCCATATATTGGACAGCCAGCAGCAACTCTGACCACTCTTAAACAATAGGAAGGGTTCTTACTAGAGACGGCTCTTCTGCCTCCTGAGGTGGAGGGGTGCCGTCAGGCATGGAGGAAGGACTGGCCTCGTTGTCGGTGGTCACGTCTCCATCTGTCAGGGCATCAAATGAGGGCAATCCGTCTTCATCCACGGGGAGACTGTCCAGGGTCTCTGTGAGGACTGCTAGCAAGTTTGCCTCATTCTCTTCATCTATCTTCTGCAGAAGCAGAGAAAAAAAATATAGAAGAGTTGACATGAGGAGGCAGGCATCATGATTAATCAGCATAGGCTGAACATGTCCAGGTGGGTGAGGAAACTGTATGTGAAATCTTTAATGCCCATGCCAAACACAAACACTGTCTTCCTCAAACTCCTAACTCATTTTTAGTCTGAATCATGTGATTAACAAATACATGTACTGCTCTTGGACCTGTGTGGTTTACCAATCTGCTGGACTTGTACTTAATACTGCTGCATATATTTCTGTTGTGTTCGAAGTCATTTTTCACATCCTTAGTCTTCTGCCCCAAACTTAGGAAATCTCAGGCCTTAACAGAATTTTAAGCATCATCTAATCTTCATACACAGTTCTTATATCTCCCACTCAGTATGCTGCCCCAAATATTTAGGAAAATTTTCACTTGACCACCATCAGAAATTTTAACTATACTAAGAGAAGCTACATACTTTTGTGATTTCAATTATAATCTCATCACTGCTCACTCCCAAATCATTTATTTCTCTTACTGACATTTCACCCAACTTAAGTCATAAATCTCTGCCTACTGGATACTTCTACCATATAATGGCTCTCTTGTCTTCAAAACCCAAACTTGGGACCTTTCAAAGCAAAACTACTCTTTTTCTCAACTTCTTTAGCTTGACTATCAGTTCTTCAGATTCATGCTCTGGGATGCCTGGACTCCTTATTAAAAGTGTGTTGCTTAAGGGGAAACCTTCCTTTGCAATGTATCACAGCTAAACTCATTTCTTATGCCAGGGATAACTTAAGCATGGTATGGTTTCTAGTAGAAGCTTTACTTCTGTGGTGCATTCTAACTTGATAAACTCATTTTCATTTACGTTCACACAAAACTAATCTTGTATTATGCCTTTAATAGATATTATTGAATGCTTTATTTAGTCTTTGTTGATGCTATGGCATGGAATGAAGAGAGAAAGAAAAATAGCCTGAATTCTTCCTCTGGTGGAAAGGTATATATTAGTCTTGGTTCTCTATACAAAAACTGGAATGTCTATATCTGTTAATATGACAGTATGTTCTTGTCTATGCATGTAATCAATCAGTCCTAGTGCTGGGCACGTGGAATACAAGGTCATTACTTAATCAGAATAACACATTGATGGCATTTATTGGCACACACACAGACTGTGCACATAATTTTCTATTATTTCTTTTAGAATTCTACATTGTTTATCCAATTTTACCTGCTTCCAAATATCTTTTCTTTTTTGTCAAGTTCTGTATGCAACGATATTAACAATATGACTAAATTATCCCACACAATTCTATTATAAAATGCACCTAAGCTGCTGACATCTAATAAAGCTGGCAATGCCCACAATTCCTTTCTAACTAGCACTGAACTTCGGTTAATTGACCTGACAAAATTACAAGAATCACAGAAAAATACAGCTAATCAGAAAATCAAATTGTATCACTAGAGAAATTAAGCAGGCTCTTATCATGTAGACGTTCTATTTCATGTAAAAAAATATTTTCCCTCATTACTGATCACTCTCTATCTAGGAGTCAAACTACAGACTTTCCTTTCTTTTGGATTCAAGAGGCCAAGAAGAGCCATTTTCTTCTTGGTGGACCTTAGTAGACCTTTTCAACATTTGCATATGGGTTGTCCCTACTGCTCCCGGATTTCAGAGTATAGTTATGTACTTTGGGTACATTGCAGTGTGAGAAAAGGATTGATCTTAAATTCTAATGAAGAAGAGAAATTCAGCCAGAAGCTCACAGTCCCTTTCAAAGGGCACTTGAATTTCATCAACTACATATTCTTCCAACAGTACAATAACAAACAAACAAATAACAAATATCACTTCCCCCAATTCTTCTGTATCTTTCCATATACTCCCAATAATAAAACAGTAAAAATATTTTCTAGTATCCAGAAAGTCTAATGAATCAATTTTTAGTATTCCCAAATTCTAATTATCACCTCATGCAAAAAAATTAAATGTAAGTCATAAAACTTTTCTCAATAAAAGCATATTTAAATAAAATATGCTACTGGAAATCTTATCAGAATAATGAGATTTGCATTACTATAACTGACTGTATTTTCTAATATAATAATCTTGGAGGACCTCTCCAATACATACACATACCCAAGAACATATTTGTACACTTTCACTGTATTGAACCCTTTTTGTGAATACCTATCCCGTTTTCAAAAAGGTTTAATTCACTAATGTCAAAAAAGAACTCAAGAAAAATGGTTAAGAGTATTTATTTGTGTTTACTCTGATTTAAATTTTGTGTTTGGCTTTCCAGCGATACTTCAAGCGGCTATTTGCTTTCAATCACAGGATACAATAACACCGCTGCTCTATCCCTTTTGTAAACAAACTCTGATAATTCCAATCAAGTCAAAATGACAAAGAACACTTAAGTTAACTAGTACTCACCAATTTCTTTAATTAGCCTGAGTGAATGTATACCACACACAATGGCAGAAATATTGGAGTTTGATAATGTCATAATTAATTTACAAGATATGATTAAACAACCAACTATTTGAATTCTTCTTTCTTGAAAGCACAATGGGAGGTGAGGGATTGTGGAATGGGAAGACTGCTACAGTAATTGGGTGTGGGGCTGAGATACTTGGTCAATTAGTACATACCAATAAGACTGGTCTTTTTATACTGTCAATTAAAAATGATGATTGGGTATGATTACTATCCCTGTATTCTCAGATGCTCCAAGACCACTTATTTAATAATATGTGTTCTGAATTTTTGATGACTGATTGTTGTGATTTCAAACTCTGATTCTTCATTAATTATGGGAGTCTAATGGTGTACCTCTGTGTCAAAATTCAACAAATATTCCTACATGTAAAGTTGAGTGGACACTGTCCCTCACTGTGGCAATTACAATTAGTTTTGTGTGAATTTCAATAGTCATCTTCTCAGAAAATACAATGGATGTGACAATGAGGACTCCGTTAAACAGTTAATGTTAATTTCAATTATTGTGCTGGTCCCAATTTGAAGAGCAAATAAATCTACAGATGAAGCACAGAACCCTATGAACACATGTCTGCTCACAAGTGACAGGGAATGGAAGCACATGAGTGAATCAGGTGACATTGCAGGGGACACTTTTACAGTCTTCGCCATTGTGTTCCTCTCCAGTCACTTGAACTTATAATATTATAAGACAGACCATTTCTCAGCAGCATCTAAAACAGTGGTTCCCAACCTGTGGGTCGTGACCACTTTAGGGTTGCATATCAGATATCCTGCAAAGCAGATATTTCCATAACAATTCATAACAGCAGCAAAATTATAGCTATGAGTAGCAATGAAATAGTTTGATGATTGGGGGGTCACTACAACATGAGAAACCGTTATAAAAGGTGACAGCATTAGGAAGGTTGAGAACCACTGCTCTAAAAGATTGAAAAGTGAGAATCTGGAATGAAAGAGAAGATCACCACAAGATTTGTGGAGATCGCCAGCTCCACTAGATTCCTTGCAGCAGAAGAGACAGGAAAGCCCAGGTCAACAGGCAGCTATCCAGGGTGTTTCCTGTAGGGGGGGAGGTCAACCTTAGTTCCTCCTTACATGGTACAATTCTGCTGCTCTTCTTCTGGCCTAAATAAAGGTCTGTGCATCTAGAAAACTCCACTCTCTGAGAGCTATCCAGGAAGAAAGGAGGCACAGCAACAAAACCTCACTCCAGGTGTAAAGAATTTCCCGTGACAGATGATACACTGACTTTTATACTGACAACCCCAAATATGAAGTCTGCAACAATTCCTAAACCATGCCTCATCATTAATAAATAATAGTTTTGAACAGTCAACAGAACCTGGAAGCTTATTGCTGCTCTATCAGACTTCAGTGTCCTGAAATGACTTGTGCACTGGGTCTGACATAATCCAAACAGCACAACTAAAGAAGGTAGACCATGTTCCTGTAGGTTCCCAAGGTCACCTGAAGATCTCAGACTCCAGGCCTAAATTGTACTGTCTTGCTTTGCTCATAGGAGCAAAAGGACTTTCCAACTGACAAAGAAGACTTGGTGGTTGGGCACACAGTGGATTCAGCTCATCCAGCTCATCCACATGCCCTCCAGAGCAAGTGAATCCACCCAATGAAGGAGAAGATGAAGGACCGGTTTGCTAACGGGCACCTGGAGGGAGAAACATGGAGGAAAACCACATGTGGCATACCAAAGGTTTCTAAGTACAGCCTATTATGGAAGGATCATGCCCTGCTTATGATAGCAATTTTTTCTGCATCTTGTAGAATTGCAATTACACTCTGCATCCCCACATTCTCACACTCGCTTGATCTCTGTTTGATAAAAATAGTTTAATAGCCATTTAATCACAGCTTCATTATCTTAGCTCTCTTAATGTGAATTAGTCCATGAGAATTCTAGCTTCCTCATTATTCAAATCATCAATAAGAAGGAAGCAGGGGGGTCTTCTTATCACTCATTAATCAATTTCAGTTTCTTAGGAACTGTTGACTCAGATCAAACTGTGTGAGAGGTCACTTAACCTTACAGTTTCTCTATTTTCCTGTGCAAAGTTTCAAGTTTTCTGCATCATTCCTGTTATGGAATATCTTGATTCTTCTTCTGAATTTATGATTAATAGGATTTTTAAAAAGTGTCAGTGCAACTTGAGAATTCTTCAAGATGGTTCCCAAAAGTATTTCCGGTGTACATGCCCATCATCTTGATTACTCACATTTGAATTTTCTTCTATGTGCACAATCCACCACTGACTTTCCACACTGGGCCAGCTCCCTCCAAGTACCCAGCATGCCCTAGGCCTCTTTCTTGCCCTATCCTGCTGATTTGGAAACAGCTAATGAAGATGAAATTAACTTCTTCTTTAAGTGAGGCCTAATTAGGAAGGGAAATCTGCTAGAGTAACATCTGGTAGCATATTCCAAAGCCAAATATAAATGACATTTTTGGATTATCCATAATTTTCGATT